CAGGTAGAATCTGGCAACTCTGGAATACTGGGGTGGTTCAGGTTAGTATCTTGGATATTAGCCCATTTAAATGCTCTATTTAAAATCATTGCAGAGACTATCTTATTAGTTTTACTGGAACATATGGACTTCATACAATTGAGGACAGGAAGGAGTTGCGGTCTGCAATTGAAAACCTGAAATCTATTGTCCAAAAACTCACAGCTCATAATGGGGGACTTCAACTCTATTCTCAGAGGGAAGGATACGAGCGCCCAAGTCATGGATGCAGAGATCAGGGATTTTGAAGACATGGTGAATTACTAGCCTAAATGAACTTAGGCCTACAGGGAGATTCTTGCATGGACAAGTTCACATATAGATGGTAACTTGACAGGGCAGTGGTCAATCATGCATGTATGGAAGGATGCCTTTATCTAGAACTAGATGTTAACGGACCCTCACTTTTCTGACCATTCTTTGCTATGTGTCACAATGGAGGAGGTACAGACTAGAAGTCCTTAAACCATTCAAGTTCCTGAATCACTTGGTAGGATATATTGAGTTCCGACACATCATGACTGATATGGAAAGAAAATGGAAGAAGTTCAAACTTATGAAAGGTGCACTGAAAAGGTACGTGAAATACTAGAGTGTTCTATAGTGCTTAGCTTAAAGCAAACAAGAGGATGTTTAAAAACTGCTAAAAGTGTCTCTGAATGACCAAGACCTCTATGCTAAAGAATAGAAGCTGAAAATAAACTTGGGAAAATGGATTGTAACAGAAGAGAGCATTCATATTGGGCAGGCCATTGCTATTCAAAATAGAATAATAAAAAGATGTACTCATCTTTGTAAGAAGAAATGCTTTAAACTTGAAGACACCATTAGAGGTATATCAATTCTATTACTTTTGAGCACCCACCCATGTGCACAAATCTTTAAAAGACAAGATATCTCATAAAAAATAATTTTATTTCCACCGAAGAATCTAATTCAACAAAGTAAATATGCAGTATAAAATTGTTTGTGTGAAACTAATACAAGTACAAAACATAAAGACATGAGTTCAGGGTGGGGTGGTTTTCACATATGGAAAATATATTTACAACTAATACAATATTAATTTAATCACACACTATAACTATGTGTAAAAGAAAAAAAGAAAAAACCTGAAACTGGAGTAGGAATAGGAGGGTCATTGATTGGTTTATGAGGAGTTTCATCAGGCTCAAAATCAGAAAACAAGGCATCATCCCCTGATGCAGCACTTTTCCCACTATCAAACAGGACTTGTGAGCCCAAAGCCAAAACCAAGCCTCCTTCTTCATGGGCATCGGCATCTCCACTTCCACGATCAAGAATATCATAGACTTCTCTATCGAAAAATCCAGGTAATTTTTTGTCTCTTCTCAAATCATTCCTCATGACCCAAAAGGAGTCGGTTTCTTCTTTTATCTGAGACTCCCACTCTTTAATCTTCTTAAAATCTCCAGCCAAATTACTCCATCTCTTTCGGCATTGAACTGGTCCACGGTTAACCCCATGTCTTTTACAGTAGGAAGAAACAGAAGCCCACTTGGGTTCAACCTGTGGTGAACCTAATTCAACAACGCCAGTTCGTCCTCGACGGATCCGGTTTTCAGTAACCTTTTTCCCCTGTATCAGTACAAGAATTTCTTGTCTAGTCCAACGAGGAAGCCTAGGAACTTTGTTAGAATCATCGGCGCCGTTGAGACGGCCGTCGGAGTCGGTAGACGGAATTAGGGTCAATCGCTCAAGCTTCATACTACTTTTTGAACCACGTCAGTTAACGGAATTACGACAAACGCCGTTTTTGAGTAGGACGGCCCGTTGAGGGGAAGAGAAACAGAGTGTTTTCCCCTTTTCTTTTTTAATAATAATAATGGTAATATAAATATATTTCATGCCCCTTTTGGTTTTGGGTATTAAATAGTAATCATCACTCCGCTTACATATTTCTTAATCAGTCTCTGATAATTTTTACAATTATCTAATTTCTAAAATAAAGAAGATTGCTTACTTTATACTCATTTCATCTTTCACTCACAAATATTAATAAAAATTAAGTAAATAACAAATAAGGCCACAAGCCTATTTCTAAGGGCTACTATTTTAAACAAAGACCAAACCATCAACTAAATATTCAAACAGGTCACTTTCCTTTCCGTGGAAATTGGCGTTTTTCTTTTCATTACTATTCATTCTTTTTAATATATATATATATATATATATATATATATATATATTAGCAAAAATAATGTATATATTAGTTCTCGACTTCATGCATTAGCACATTAGCATGATTAAACTGAAACATATAATTATCCCTCAATTTTTTTTTTACATATTTTATATCATAATTGTGGATGATATTTTTATATAACGCAATTTGTTTTAATATACTAAATCAAACAATGCATAACAAATAATATATATATAATAAATGCAAGTATTACTAACACAGTCTATTTAACTTTATTTTTAGGGCAACTTTCACATATAGCAAAAAAAAATCATATTTGCATAATATAGCAAACTTTGCATAATTGCGCTCCACAGCTAACATCAAAACTGTATAATTCGCTATACATATATAAGTGTATAATTCGCTGGCCTAAATTGTATAATTCACTAGCCTAAATTGTATAATTCGCTGGCCTATTTCGCTGCAATTGTATAATTTGCTTTGCATATAGTTGAATCGAATTAAAATGTATGTACATTGCATAATTATAAGTTTATAGAAAAAAGATATATGTTTTTCTCGCTTTATACAAAAACAGAAACACAATATATACACTTCTGTTGTATAAAGCTAGAGAAAATTGTATTTCACTACAATTATATAATTCGCAATTGTATAATTCGTTGGCCTTTTTCTCTGTAATTTTTGAAGTAAAATGTTTGTAAATTGTATAATTAAGTGTATAACACGAAGATATACATTTTTGCATGTGCATATACAATTTTCTCTTGCTTTATACAAAACAGAAACAAAATTATACACTTCTCTGTATAAAAGCGAGAGAGGCGAGCGAGAATGGAGAATGGCGAGCGAGATTCCTGGGAGAGAGACGCTGGCAAATTTTAGATAATGTTTGCAATGGAGCATAATTAAATCAAACCCTAGCTATTCTATTTAATTTAAGTTATTAGTTTGCTATTTTAAACAATTTTTCCTTATTTTTATACGTTTTACCAAATGAGTGAGGTCAATATTTGTTCATAAATTTAATTTTTTAATAGAATTTATAAAACTATTCTAATTTTTTTAACTCTAGCTATACTCCGGTAATAGTAAATTCTCTTATTAAATGTAAAATGAATATCTAATAAAAATAAATAAATTTAAATGGTGTTAATTAAATAATTTTAAACTTTTACACTAAAATGAATTAAAGTGGAATCAAAATATTAAATATTTGTTGTTGTTTACTTGTATATTGCTTTTTCCAAAAATACCTTCACGAAACATGCACATCAACATCCTACTACTTAGCCTTTAACTCCCTCTTTATGTAATTAGAGAAAGAAAAATTACTATTAGTGTAGTATGCAATCAAAGGGATTTTATGGCATTATTATTTGAGATAAATCTTTTGCAACTTTTATACCTAATTTTGGTATCTTTTACACAGTCAAAATGGTAAAATAATAAAATACTCATGTGTCTTAGTAGTTAAATCAAATTAACAAATGCAGATTTTTTATTGTGTTATTAATTAATGTAAGTTTTTACTTATAATTTATTAATTATAATAAGCTAATACAATTTGATATAACATTCGATCGAATTTTTAGCCCTTATAATTGTCCTTTCTTCGAGACTTTGATTTCTCATTTTCCTTTTTTACTTAAATTTAAAATATAGAAAATTTTAATTAATATTTTAATATTAGAATATGTAATATTTTGGACGAAAGAAAGAAATATTTTAGACAAAAGAAAGTGAAAAGTGTGATAATGATTATGGGATGGATTTAAAATACAAAGAAGTCAAATTAGATGGATAAGGGCATCCACCTTGTCTTAGCAAAATATGAGTTAAAAGTTTTTCCACTTTTCCTTTTGTTCTCTTCCTCCACCTCTCAATTCCCTAATCCATAATCAAGTACTAGAATAAATATTTAATTATTAAAAAAAAGGTGTAGGAGTTAGGAATGAGTGGGTTGTCCCTCCCTCCACAAAAGGGCTATATTTCTCAATAATAGGGGTGGCTCCATCACTATGTGTAGAGTCATCTTTACCTTTTTTTTTCTTTCCTCAGTCTTTATCATAATTATCCTATTTAATAATTAGGCCAAGGAACCTTTTCAAAGATGAATTTGGATTTATTTAAGTTTAAATTGTACCTTTGGTGTATGCATAATTTTGCAATTTTCATTTTTTTATAGTCTATTTAAAAAGTTATATGATACTTTTTTGTTTTAAAAAGATGGTCTTATTTTTTTTAATTTGTTTTATAAAGAATGACTTTTTTTTTTATATAAAATTTTAGTTCTAACTTCTCGCATGTTTAAGCCATAAGATTAAAGGATATTTTGGTACATTTGACATAACTTTAATTTAGAACCACAAAATAAAAAAAATCTTCTTTCTTTTTTTAAATTTTGTTCCAAGTGAAATTAGACAATTATTTTTAAAACGGAAAGAGTTGAAGTTGATATAATTAAACAATTAAGTAATTTTACAGTATAACATTAATTACAATCACATATTTGCATATTGTTTGATTGCATTAATATAAATACACAGTTGAATGAAAATTTACAAAATAAAGGTTAGCTTTCAAAAATTAAAAGTTAATATTTGAAAAATATGTGTCTTTTGTGAATGATACTTAAGTACTTAGGTATTTAAGATGCATGTTTTTTCTTGAATATATAATTATTAATAAACATATATTTATAACAAATATTTTTTTAAAATTATATATATATTCCTCTTATTTAGAAATAGCAGTTAAAAGGATTAACAATGTGCAACGAAATTTGTCGAATTAACCCTTTAACTTTTAATTTTACCTATTCTCTACTCTAAACACGTGGGATAATTGTGTCCATATTTCCAAGATCCCTTTTACTGATCAAAAGCTTGCAACCCCAAATCTCAAATCCCTCTTTAACAGTGGCGGTAATCTTTTCAAATTTTCTTTGTTTCAATTTCATCCTTCATCAGTGTTAGTCATTTCTCGTACTGATCAAAAACTTGCAATCCCACATTTCAAATCTCTCTTAAACAGTGGCGGTAATCTTTTCAATTTCTCTTTACTTTAATATAGTTCTTCATCAGTATTATTCATAGAGCTCCCCATCTTTCTCATCATAATTTTCTAATTTTTTTATGAATCTTTTATATTTTAAGACTATAGGAACCGATACTACCTTAAAGGTAGTCTTTGATTTGTAAAAGTTTATATTGGTAGTTTGCAAGTCATTTTTATGGCTTCTTTAATTCTTATCGTTTCATGTTTCTTCAGTTTGATATTTGCTAGAGATTCGGGAATATGAAATAACTATTTAAAGTAAAGTTATTTCATGAGTTCATTTTTATTGTTTTGCTACTTACCGAGCACTTATAAAATAAGTGTATTCTTTTGGTGAACGCACACATCACATGGTAGTACAAATAGCATCCTAAATTTATTCCAGAGAATATTGATTTCCTATCTTGATGTTATCACTGAAATTCACTTGACATTTTAATTTTTAGGTGTCATTAGGAGTTTAATTTCTCATAGTTTTATAGGTTTTTTGTTTGTTTATTGACCTGTAGTATCATACCTTTATATCCTGATTTATGTTAGTTTTCAAGGTAACATACTCTGTGTGGAACATGTTCTTCATGAATTTATAATCTTGAAAGTCTTTGGACTAATTAAGGTAGGACTTTGTGGGAAAGTAGATTCTTGGGTGATACCCGTGCAATGCACGCTCCCAACAAATTGAGTTTTTATATGTTACTATCCACCAAACACAAGCACGCGCGCACGCGCACACACATTTATTTCACACCATAAATGTACTACATTATTTTTTTTAAAAAAAATACTACATGTAGCTTTGAAGCAATATCCAAGAGAATCACCATGCCATCACTTAATTATTGACGAAAAATGCATGTATCTCAGATGTAAAATCAGATGTAATATTATGTGAGTGATCTGAATGTCATGTAAAAGAAACATCGCTAGGATTCTCTAATGTTGTTAGTTGTGTTTTCAAGGTTGTGCTCTTACTTTTTAATCAATAGTTTGCTCTTAGTCCATGTTGGCATGCCTTTTGTTCTTGTTGTAACAAACCTAAAAATGGAAATACTAAGTGATACTTAATGTGTCAAGAATGCCTATGATTAGATCAGGGTTCACACGAATTGATGCCCGTAGAACCAGACTCTCAAACCCTTGCTACATCCAATCCAACTAACCTGAGGAGTTAGTTGAGCTAGGAAAGGTTGGGTCCAACCATGTAAGGCTCTCGAATACAAAGATTTACTCAAAGGAGTCTTTACCGGACCTAAAAAGAGAAAATCTTAGGTTTGGAGGGTCTAGGGCTAAAATGATATTTTTCTAGGCTAAGGGTAATAAAGTAATTATCCTAAATATATAATTAATTATTTAATTAATAAGGTGAAGGGGAAATTTGGGGAGAGAGAACCGAAATTGAGCTCTTGAAGTGAAGTCTTGCTTCACCCGGGTTCAAACCTAGGTGGAAACAATGAATTAATGTGATTTTTATTCAAGCTATTGAATTAATATAATTAATTATTATTATTCATTAGATGATTTAAAATAAAATAAAAATCAGATTTTTAATAATTAAGTAAACCTTATTTGACTAAGTCCTAAACTAGACTCCTAAGCCTAATAAAGCCCCTACTCTCTCACGTCTATCTCTCAACTCTCACGCTCAATCTCCCTTGTTATTTCATACGAAATTCTCTATCAAAATAAAATACAAAAGCAGAAAAATAAATCAAGTTCTTCACACTTGAAGAACTCACACAAAATCAAAAGGAAACAAACGTTAAATCGCACACTAGGCTAAAGGAGGTTGTCATTGGAGTTATGGTTGTGTTGTTACGTGCACAAACTTATATAAATCGATATGTTAATAAGTAATGTAAATATTATGATTTGAGTGCAATTCTTTACTGAATGAAATTTTGAAAATGCACCTAAAGAACTCACTACAAAACTACTTAAAACGTCTAAACATTTAATTTGAATGAAGTGAGAAAATAGGCTGCAAAAATTTCCAGCAGCTTGTTAATGAGTTTCGGCCAAACTAAGGAGAATTTCATGCTATGAAACAATGAACTAAAATATGTGAGATCACTAAGGATTGAACCCGTGACCTCACCATGTTGAAAATCAATGAAAAAAGGAGAGAAAAAGGGAATGTGGCATGTGGGACTCGAACCTATAACCTTGGCTGGAAAATGAAAAATAAAAAGAAAAGAAATGAGAGGAGTGATATTCGAACCCACAACCTCTCAGACAGTAAAGGAGAAAGTAAAAAATGAAAAAGAAAAGAAATGAGAGGAGTGGTATTCCAACCCACAACCTCTCAAGCAGTAAAGGAGAAAGGAAAAATGAAAATATTAGGAATGTGAGGAGTGGGATTCGAACCCACGACCTCTTAGGAAGATTTAAGGAGAATTAAAAATGCAAATAAAAGAAATGTGAGGCGTGGGAATTGAACTCACGACCTCTAGGCAGTAAATGAGAATTACAATAAAATGATAAAGTGAGGTTGTGGGGATTTGATCCCACAACCTCATTGTCAATGCGAGATAGTCAAGGAGAAATAAATAAAGAAATAAAAGGGGTTGTGGGAGTTAGAACCCACAAACCCTCGGCCAAAGGAGAGAATTTCTAAAGAAAAGTAACTAAAAAGAAATGTTGATGTTGGGGCTCGATCTAGGGTCCCAATGTCATGAGGACTAAAAATAAGTGAACCTAAGATGTATGCAATGAAATGATGAAACCCTAGAAGGGTTAAGCATGAGTATAAGATACACAAAATCGCCAAGTGCATTGGCATATGGCGAAATGAACAATGAAATGATGAAATGAACAATGAAACAATAAAACCCTAGAAGGTTTAAGTAAGAGCGTGAAACACACAAATGGCCAAGTGCATTGGCATATGATGAAATAAATATTTACGTAAAAAGAGGTGAGTAATTATGAAGAGCAAATGTGCTAATGTTAGTAAATGTGGTGACAACATGATATGAGGCTAATGGAAAATATGAGAGCAATCTCAAATGAGCCTAAGTAAATGTTACCAAAACGTACTCACCTATGAGAGTGTAAAGTTAATGAAGAGACCAGTCTCTATGAACATTCTAATGAAAGTATTGAGATTAACACACTTAATACTAATG